CAAACTTCGTGACCAACAGGCAGGATTGCGTAAGGATAGATCGTGTACAGACCAAATCGCAACTCTACAGATCATTGTAGAACAATCAATTGAATGGAATTCATCACTCTAGATCAACTCCATTGACTACGAAAAGGCATTTGATTGCGTGGACAGGACAACACTATGGAAACTTGTTCGACACTACGGCGTGCCTCAGAAGATAGTCAATATCATACAGAGTTCATATGATGGATTACACTGCGAAATCGTGCATGGAGGACGGTTGACAAAGTCGTTCGAAGTGAAGACCGGTGTCAGGCAAGGTTGCTTAATCTCACCCTTTCTCTTTCTCCTGGTGATCGACTGGATCATGAAGACGTCAACATCTGAAGGGAAGCACGGGATACAATGGACAGCTAGGATGTAGTTGGACGATCTGGACTTCACAGATGATCTGACCCTCCTATCCCGAACGCAACAACAAATGCAGGAGAAGACAAACAGTGTAGCAGCAGCCTTAGCAGCAGCCTTAGCAGCAGCCTCAGCAGCAGTAGGTCTCAATATACACAAAGGAAAAAGCAGGATTCTTCGATACAACACAGCATGCACCGATCTAATCACAATTTACGGAGAAGATTTGGAAGATGTAAAAACATATTTGATGAACAAGAATTGGATGGAATTAGAAAAGGAGGCCCAGGACAGAGTGGGTTGGAGAATGCTCGTCGGCGGCCTATGCTCCATTGGAAGTAACAGGCGTAAGTAATATATATATATATATATATATATATATATATATATATATATATATCGTCGCAATGCATTTCGAAACATTCGCTCACAGACACTTGTCAAGAACATTTATATATAAATATAAATATAAAGATAATAAATAATATAATGTGAAATTAGTGTGTAACTAACCACTCTTGATAATAAACTAATATTATCAGTGTGGGTTCAAGGCGCGATCAAATTGTTTCTGATTATATAAGGGAGGTTAATATTTTCGTATAGCCTGTAATGACTCACATTTATCACGAGAACACGAATGGTTTAATAAAAACAATTATTAGTATAACCAATTTTACCAGTGTCTGTTTTAATATGCTTTTGTTTAACTGTGCTAATGACAGCTATATTGTGCTTCCATTCTTATCCTTACACTTCGATTGTAACTTCGCGCGAATTCGGTTACGTTCTGTAACCAAGCTTCTATCCTGGCACGATCTCGGTATCCTTCTGATACCACGAGATCGCCAGCGAATACATCTCGATTTGGTTCATTAATTGCCTTCTGATATTTGACTTCTCGGGGATTTTATGAAGTCATTTGGAACAAGCTTTTTGGTAGCGGTGTTCATAGTCAATCTCCACTCGACACCACGCTACAAACCAATGCTTCAATCAATCGTAGTATACTCCCTTGACGACTTTCGTGTAACACCACAAAATCCGTGTTAAAATCAATCTTATGACATGTTTCAACTGAGTTTAGCAACGGTGGGCGATGGATATTTGTCGTCTACTCTTATTGGATTAATCGATTTTATTTGCTTTTGCAGCCTCTTTGGTACATGTTCAGAAACCCTAATTCCAAAATCATGATTTCCCCCCCCCGTCTTTGTGTATGACCACATACATGTAAATTGATCAGCATGGTGATATGCAACACACATATTCACATGCCATTTATGTTTCCGATAGAGCATTGACCTTGTTTTACATTAAAATGACTTTCTCAGAATGGTACGTTCTACCCAAAGTGTTAGAGCTTGAAGACTATTTTCAGAATGATTTAGTGACCTACTTTTATCAAGAGAACTCGGCCATATTTAGAATAACTTCAAACTCCTTTTTCATTGCTCAATGTTTTTTAAACAGTAGTCAAAGTACATTACTGAGAAAAAGATATGAATTATATTTATTTTACCCAGTGGATAATTTCACCAAGTGCAAATTAAAACCTTTCTACCCAATTAAGTGTTGAACCCACAATTGTTTGATCACTGGGTGGTGGTCGATTTCATTTGTGTCAAGTCCTTATTAGTGCAAATTAAATGCTATCCACCATGTCGCAATGTGGCCACTCGTCTTGAAGAGAAATCAAACGACGGTAATTTGGAATAATTTCACACCAGATTTTAAGCAGAGCTGGAGGAACATGAGACTTATAGACTGGCTACAAAGAGGATAATCTCGAACCATGCCCTGATCCGACAGTGGCGCTTGAGTAATCGCATTCAGCTAGTAATGGCCATTAAAACTGACGAAATAGTTAGCTCTATGGAATGTTTGCCTCATCATTTAAAACAGCCACTTGTAAATAAAACTTACTTAATTTGCTATAATATTTCGAGTCATTTGAATTATAGTACGAACTAAGAGTCCCAGAAATAACGCGATTGAATCAAGAAGTACTAGATAAGCACAAACGAATGTACTGTATTTAGAATTCGAAATCAAGCATTCAACAAGCACAAAGAAATCATCAGTTCATTCAAACACCACATTCACGCATTTTGAAATATCTTCACCTCTGAGTTTCTACCTATACCTAAAGTAATCCACATCATACGAAGCAAATAAAATTGTAATTATTCCCATTCATGGTCCTGACTTATTCGTTTCGAATTACCTGCCCTCTGAACAATTCCATAATTGGTATGGCTGTTCTCTCAGTAAATTTTTATTTTCCTAGATAATTCACAATTTAGTGTGGCGTCGAGTCGTAGTCTGCAATCTCATCCGAAGTCAAGGACAGCGTGGTCTGCTGATCTGGATGCGAGGCTGAAGTCTCGTCCGTAGATGGTGCAGATGACACGTGCTGTCGACTGAGACGTGAGAATGAGGTCTCTGATGCATCCGATGTACATATAGGCATCCCGCTAGTAGGTTTGATGGGTCTAGAATTGAGTTTCAACTTATCAGGTATAGCACTGTCATCGACGTGTGCTGGTTCGAGACGATCAATCCTGAAGATCTCGACGCGACCATGTAGATCAACCTTGAAAGCCATTTCGTGACGAGAAATCACATGGAAAGGTCTTTCGTAAAGTTGTCGCAGAGGCTTGCGTAACCGAATCTACTCGTATGAAAACATGTTAACAAGTAGATAACTGTCGAGGGAGAGCGACCTGCCGATGTCGTATTCGGTTTAACAACAGGGGCAGTGTTCGCACAAAGTCGGACAGTCGTTGGACTTAGTCTGATTTACTTAAATCGTTGGCGATACGTGGTGGGAAAAATTTTCCAGGAAGACGCAATGTCAAGCCGTATACAAGTCCAGCGGTGGAACATTGAATATCTGCCCCTAAGCTCGTTCTGATACCTAAGGGGACGAGAAGTAAGGTCTTGTACTAATTGTTGTTTTCGTGTGCTCGATGAGCACTTTAAGTTGACGATGAAACCGTTCAACTTAATCATTTGATGCTGGGTGGTAGACGGTAGTGCGTATGCGTTCCGTACCAAGCAGCCGGGTCAGTGAGGTGAGTAGATAATTGGAGAACTTTCTCAAATAAAGCGTGGAATATATCGTCGCGCGAATGAAAGGCTCTTAAGATTCAATACGCGTACATCGAAGTCTATTATATTAATACCATTCTTATCGTTATCCGTCAACTCAAGTTGTTGCCAGAATATCATATATTGAAAAATACCATTATGAAAATGTGCGACATACGTGGATAGATTCACCGTAGTAGTCTTCCTTGGGAGATTTTCCAGAGGTCGAGACGTTTTCACAAATTTGGCTCATCAGCTTTAGCGTGGCGTCGAGTCGCAGTTGACTATGATCACCACTACGGGAAGACTATGTGCCAGTTAACCGATAAGATCCCCTGTAGGCCAAATATCAGGAGCGACCATAACAAACAATTGCGTTTTCCGTGTCTCTAGGTAACCCTCGTGCTGTCGATAGAAGAAACCAGACAAGTAGTGAAAAGGTGTTTATTTAGATCTTCGTTCAGTTACAGTGGAGCGTGGGATTATTTGTTCAGACAAACAAAGCCTCTCAACATTCAATATAAGATAGTAGAAAATATAACGCCTATACAAAATAAGGAAGTGAATGAATACTTGAACCATACTGTTTTGACATATGCTTAGTTGTTTGAGGTGAACTCTTAACCAACCAACCTAAGCTGTTACACGTTCTCTGAATAAAAGTAGGTCATCACATTATCACCATCGGTTTCGTTATAGGCCGATGATGCAATGATATGGAGAGTGATAAAAAGCAAAGATGATAGTTTAGAGCTTGAAAATGACATGTATACAGTATTCGTGCATCGTAAACCTGAGTTCTGCATACAAGCAACTAGCCCTCACCTAATAAGAGACGGTGAGGAGTTGGGAAGAGTTTGTAGCGTGGTGTCGAGTAGAGCTTGACTATGAACGTCACTACAAGTAAATGCGTACCAAAAAAATCAGAAGGCAAAGACTGAACGTAACCAGATTTCATTCGTTGGTGATCTCGTGGCATAGAACGAATACCAAGATCGTACCAAGAAATGGTAAGAGCGAAAGGAGGAGAATGGAGTACGTGTGAACAAAGCCAAAAACAGCGGAACAATGATGAAAGGTAATGGAAGCACAAAAATGGCTGTAATTAGCACAATTAAACAAAAGCACATTAAAACAAACACTCGTACAGTTGGTTATAATAACAATTGTTTTCATTAAACCAGTAGTGTTATCGTGATAAAAGTGAGTCACCACAGGTTCAAAGAACTGCAGCTAAGCCGATTCCAGGAATAGCAAAGCTCCCGTATGATAACAGACTGGATAAACTCCACCTGATTTTATTACTATATAGAAGAACCAGATGCCACTTTATCACAGTATTTTAATTACTTAGTGATAAATTTGCACCTGATATGCCCTCATTTTTTTTGACTTCCAAAACGGATAATTAAATGTAGTTATCATCAATAACTATTTTAAATAAATTTTGAACAGTGGTACACTGATGGTTGGGAGGTCATCATTAGACATTGAAACCATTTGAATTGGAAGTTGCACCGGACTTTCACGTGTTGCGTTACTTAGTTGCTAGGTGGCAGCTGAATATGAGTGATGAACTAGTACTGTTAGATGCTCAGTGTGCTTTCATTTTGGGACAACATCAACTGGCTCTTAAAACAATTCAAAAGTTGAAGGTAATATGGTGTATAATATTTTAATTTTATAATAGTCGGGTTCTTCAGACGTAGAATTGCAGGCTAATGTGCTTACTTATCAAGTATACATAGCTCAAAAAAAGTATGGAGTTGTGCTCGATGAAATTTCTGAGGACGCCAACGAGCCAGAGCTGAAGCTTCTTCGGCTCTTGGCGACGTACCTTTCGAAAGGTGTATCTGAGTATGTCTATATTCCAGTAATAATGGCGGCAAACCTTTAATGTTTTCCCATATTTGAAGGGACGCTGTGGTAAAACAGCTTGACAGAATACTGGAACAACATATGGATTTAAGCCAAAGTGCGATTGTCATTGCAGCAACTATATATCTTCATTTAAATGTAAGTTAGTACTAATTCCTTTGTCTTACTTTAGATGGTGGAATATGCTTTGAAAACCTTAAATAATGGGAGCGACACGTACTGGTAAGTTTCTCTTGTAAAACCATGTTCAGTGTGGAATGTCATAAGTCAGGGTTTCAGAAACAAACCTTTAGTTGGTAATTCACATAATTGATTTTGAAGTCGTTATAGTAATCTGTGACTTGAGTAGCTCCTGATTTATAAGAGTCAGCAATTACATTTAGCGTAATAACCACTTAAGACAACACCTTTAAAAACAATTGATGTCGTTTTACAGCTACTGGAATTTACTCGATCACACGACATAAATTTTCGCAGTTTGAAAGTGATAGTGTCTTTGTATTTAAATTTTTAAGGATACAATTTTATGTTATGGTAGTCCAGAGAAAAGAGGAGATTCGTTAAGCTTACAGTAGTATCTCTAATTCATACATCTATAAGGGTTCGATTCTTGCATTATATTACCTTGCTTCTCAGTAAAAAAATTGTCAGTTTCATTTCCCTTACACGCTTGTTAGCCTTTGTGCTCATCGCTAATATTGTCACTGAGTGTGAAATGACATTACTTGAAAAGATCCTGGTATGAAAAGCAACTATAAACCGTTCACTCAGTCATTGGTAGATTTCATGATGACAACTACGTAAGAAACCCGATTCGTTGCTACCTCAACATAGTGGCCGGTTTTGCTTAACATGATAAACCAGTCAAGCTATACTGGCTGAAGCTTCCGTTCCCCAAGGTCCCACCATGCCAGACAGGTCGGCCGAAGAGCGGTAAGACTAAAAGCAGCAAACAAGATCCGGGAGCAAAGTCGTACTACTGACCATACAGAGGTGTGACGGCAGTAAGGTTTTTCGTCAGACAACCAGCGTAACAGCGATGCTACCTTCCCATAAGAATGAGTGGGGTTAAAAAAGGTCGATCCTGTAAATGCACATGAAAGCAAAATAGATAGTGAAGGCAGCGGCTGTAGTTAACACCAGACAGCTTTTTGGACTAATAAAAGAAACCGGAATTAAGAAGTCCACTGTAAGTAACAATTTAGGAAAAAGACGACACTTATCTACTCTCAGTCCAGACGTTGAGAACGATGGGCGGAACACCAAGAAGCAGTTCAACTGACCTTCAGCTACTCTACCACATATTCATCACTCATCAGATTTTAGAACAGACATGCTTATCGGCGTCCGACAACAGTGGTCCTTCTTGACTTAAATGCAGCATTCGACTCTGTAGACTGAAATGTTTTGTGGTAGTATCTATCATTGAACGGTGTGCCTCAGAAGTACATAAAACTTGTGAAGACTCTTTAATCGAACACTACCAGTCGAGTGAGAGATTATGGCATCTTGTGAGACTATCCACTGTCTCCATTTTTGTTCAACTTCATACTTACTGCTGGAAATAAAGTTCTCGTCAACTGAATTTCCAGGAATTGATGTCTTTCCAGGAGTTTCACTTATTGACTTAGAATGTGCATATGATATAGTTCTGTTTGGTGAATATGTTCATATAATGCAGTGTTTTGGCAACGCTGAACAACAATGCTAGGATGCTTGAAGTCCACCTAAGCATCCCTAATGTGTTGGTGTCTGACGAAATCTACGTGAATTCAAAAAGTTAGTTTGATGGCAAATCAGTTGATGAAATTGTGATTATACATCGATTGAGTTGGTGAGCCACCTATTACACATCCCCAACCATCGATTATCAGGGCACGCAATGCTGAATAGTGTTGGTGACTGTTGGAAGAAAGGTAAGGGACGATAAAAGCGAAGTGTGGCATCAGTACATAAAGTCACTGACTTCTAGTCTTAGCCATATTGATAGATACAGACTACTTAGTTGGGATGCGCGTGACCATCGTAACCAAGGGTTGGAGACTGGGTGATATGGCTTAGAATCGATGACAATGGCTTATGTGTATACACTCTTTGTCTCTCCTTAAACCTTGAAATTAAAATTACTTTATACTTTTCTGCTAACTAATTCTTTCTTCCCTGTATTATTTCCTTATATGCAATCCTTTATATATTACTACCATTGAAATAACTGCTTCTATGAATATGGTTGTGCTAATGAGGAATGGCAACTTGGACCGATGCATATGTTAACTTGGTCCTACACTGTATCTGACTGACTAAACATATAAGAAAATTCACGTTTGTAATCTTCCTGATTCTAAGGTAGCCATTAGCCCCCTAAGTTAAAGATCTGGCTAAAATATGTGTAACTCTATAATTATGAATGCTTAATACTGTGACTAATGAGTCAGAAAACTACAACACAATTATCATGTAAATAAATTTTTATTCTTAGCTCTATCAATTTTTTTCACTTTGTAACGTCTACAATAGTCTAGTTGGCTTCTGTTGTTTGTCGGATTGTCAGCATTATTATAATCACGTAAACATGTGACTACATCACTGTTATGGCTCACTAATCCGTTTATTTTTCTCCCTATGGACATGTAGACTCAGGACTAGTTTGTTTTCGTTTTTATTTCTAGTTAATCCTAGTTTGATAAGTTTATTACAGAATGTTAGCATTTTTGAGGAATTATAGGAAAGCTTAATATCTCAAGTCACTTTTCCTTTTAGCAACGCTTTAACAGTTCAGTGTTTACTTCACATGAATCGTTGTGATCTTGCTGGCAAGGCTGTTCGACGTATGCAAACTGCAGATGAAGATTCTTTAGCAGCACAACTTGCCGCAGCTTTATACTACGTGAAAAAAGTATGTTCCTAATAGTGTTGGTCAAAAAAACATGCATCCCACCATTTTACTTCGCTTTATAAATGATATTCATTTTGTCCAGGGCGGTGATCAGCTACAAGAAGCCATTCACATATATGAAGAACTTAAAGAAAAACATGGACCTTCAACTTTACTGTTAAATGGTCAGGCTACAGCTTTGATGGGTATGAATAATTGGGTTGAAGCCGAACCAGTCCTTCAAGAAGCTATTGATTTGGTTAGTTTATTACTTATTTATTTTTCGGTGTGCAAAAATCATCTCTGAGAGGACGAACTAAATAAACGAAAACGTCTTCTATCTCCCCGTTTATTTGAGATGTACAAAAGTTTACAGGTTTTATAAATTCTCAATACGACTATTTTAAGAAGACATAGTTGTTTATCAATATTTATTCCCTTTAAACAATCCGACTGATATTTTAAAAATTTAAGATTTCATTCTGTAAGTAGTTTGATTCCGCATTGTTAACGTACAGGATTCTACTCATATGATGGTTATTATGATTACCCATAATGCAACCCAATTGCAATGTGGGATAAGTTTTATCACCAATTAGGTGGCTCAAAATCGTTTGCAATGGCGCAGGTGCATCCACTCTTTGTGTTCTCCCAAATTCTAATCTTCTGAATTCTTCATGTCCCTTTTTTCCTCTTTCCAAATTTATTTCACTGAATTATACTCTTTAAATAACATCTCCAAACCCTAATCTTCCCGATCACTGCTTACACTCTTGCTACCTCTACCACTACGGGATTTGAATCGACAACTGCATCTCTGTGTTAAGGTGGTGTGGCAACTCGAACTGATGTACGTACGTATGAAGTTCTACGTTGTTACTGACTGAGGTGTTCTTATACAGAAAGTTTGTTTGACAGGTTCTGTAGTACTAGCCAAAGATTTGAATGCGTAGGTCGGGCGTTTAGGCACAGAAGAGTCATTTAGATGGCTAATGTAAACTTATTGGTCGCAGGTCAGATAACGGTAACCGTCTACAGCAACTTTGCACAGACTATAACCTATTTCTGACTAGCACTTGCTATCGGCACAGTCATTACCTATGTGCTACCTGGAGTCCTCTGCATCTCAAATCTGGACTCAAATTGATCACATTGCGATCAGCTACCGCGGGTGTGGCTGTGTACAGGATTGTCGCTTCTTTTGGAGTACTTATCTGGACCCTGATGATGTCCTTGTTGGCGCAAATCTTATCTTGCGTTTCAGCGGTCAGCAAATTCTTCGTCCTAAACGGGTCGGTTCCAGTTTCTGTTGCAACTAAATGTCAAACCAAGCTATGTTCAAGGTTAGCCATCATCCCACCGAAAAGTATAGATAAGCATTGGTTTCAATTGCATGACGCCATTAAAATGGTGAGTAAAGACACTTGTGATTTCGCGAAACATCCTGCTTATAAGCATTGGGTTTCTTCAGGCTCCTTATAACTCATTGGGGCCTGGGTGACTGCAAGTTTGACTATAAGTGAGGATTGTTACGCAACAGAACTGTGCAATCCTTGTGTAAGGACTGAGGAGCTTGGTGGTCGGAGCGTTCAAACGAGTTGGAAAGATCAGCTGCTTGTGTTAACTGCCAGAAGCTCTTTCAACTCATCCGATTCACTGGCAGTAGGAAGTTTGGTGCGAGTGAAAAAGTTTGTGAAGCTGAGGGGATATCAATCAATAACATCTATCAACATGAAAGCAAAACTGCTCTTATTATTATTTTATTGTCATACACTAATTTCTGTTCTTTGTTTCTCTTCTTTTATTGTACTCACTTTTCGCTCTATCTCCACAATCTCATTGTTATTATATGGCCCATATAGTACTCCCATGTACCAATGGTTATGTGTTCAAATAAATTAATAAAAGTATAGTATACAGCTTTATTGTGTAAGATTGTGTCTGTCTGTTATTATGAAATGTATTTTGGGTATTGTGGTTGTTAGGTCCCGATAAGCATAATGAATGGTAACTTTTTGGACCCATTTATGGACCAATACTATGCGTATATTTTTATTTGTATCAGTGTTACATAACTAAACTATACACATTCATGTCCCTCTTATTATAAGCTTTATCTTGACCTATGAACTATTATTATACGATTTATCATTCTTAAATTATGTCGTGTTTATTAGTTCACTGCCTCCCACATTTGGCTAAATCTTTTACAAATGTTATTTCCTATTTTATGGTACGTTGTGGTCTGTTTGATTGGTATATAAACCCCGTATATTTGAAATAAATGATTAATATTACAAAGGCTAAGATTGGCATTCTAGACTTAACAGGCAAGGCTAGGCGGAAAACAGGATCGATAAGGACTCTAGACTGTTCGTACTTGTTTTAAGTCACGGTTCCCTGATTGGCAGTATCGTTACGTTATACATTAGCAGGGCACTTAGGTCACAAATTATAACAGTGGTGCAAATTTTTTATCGCTGTTAAGCACATTTTGTAATATTGTTATTAGCATAACACTATACAGATTTATTTTCCTAAGAAAATCTTATTTATAATATTCGTGTGTATATTTGTTACATTTTTCTAGGATAGTAATAATCCTGATACAATTGTAAATATGATTGTGGTTTATCATCATTTAGGAAAACCGGCTGAGGTAAGAATGTGTTTATTTGCAAACAAAAAAAACTTGAATTGTCCACTTTTCTTTAAAAAAAAACAGACTATCAACAGATTAATATCTCAACTACGGGATTGTTGTAAGGATCATCCATTCCTTTTAGATTATGCAGAGAAGGTAACAAAAACTATTCACTTTGAAAAAACACCCAACTAATTCTTATGTCATTTTATAGGAGGATGAATTTACACGTTGTGCAAAACATTATGCTCCAAGTGTACCAGGATAATATTCATTTATATTTTGTATCAGTTTCTATTATCATAATAACTTTTATTTGTTTTGTTTCTTTTTACTTTTTTTGTCATTTAGTCTAAAATAAAATGGTGTTGATTATGATCTGATTCTTGTCTTATTGTTTATTTTATCTAGTCTTGATTAGTTTGTTCGATATAACTATATGGTCATTGTTATTAGACTTGAGTATGTTGGCTAAAATAAATGTATTTTAGGGTTTTAAATTGTTTTGGAAAATCATAGTAGAGTCAAAATCTATCGTGATAATGTTGTAAGAAAGCTTCAGAACAAGGTTTCGTTGTCAATAATACCACTTTTCATCAACCGAGTTTTATGCGTTATAGGCAATGTACTAACACGATATAAAGGAACATAGTTAAAATTCAGTTTATTTAGGTTCACTGCTTGTGTTATATTTTATCAGAATATGAATGTGACGTAAAAGTTGACATTTTCTTGACTAATCTTATTCTCACTCTGATAACCTCTAGATCTCAGTACAGTAAAATCTTATCGAACGTTTTACGTACCAAAAGAGATGCAGTAACATATAGATTGAAGTATGCTAATGACAAAATTGACAGTGATAACGCTTAAAATGTCTATGTTCTGTCGTTGCAAGTACAGTCATTTGCTGAAAGGGAGTGAAATAATTCAAAATTGGGATAGATCATTGTAGAGTTCTAAAGCGTGATATTGATATGTGGTCTGATCGATATATGGGTTCATTTTATTTGATTCCAAGAATTATTTGAATAATAATGAAATGGAAGGCTACAAATTATCAGTTTATACATAAATACATTTTCTATTTCAGATTACTAATTGATAAACTAATTCGTCTAAGTTGGTTTCTGAGATAATTTTTCCTAAGTTTTGTATATTATTATGATCTAGCAGTAATGAATATCATAGTAATAAGTTACTCTTCATGAAACTTATAAGTGGTTTGAATTTTCAAAAAAAAATTATGGACCACATTGCAGTAATGAACAGTGTCATTTCTATATACACGTAACAACAGAATTAGTGTTAGCGACAACTAATCTATATTGACAGAATAAACTATCATATGTAGGTGAGAGACTTCGAATAGCTCACTTTTATCTGGAGTTTGCTGTGATATTGTTGCCTAGAAAGATTTTATAAGCTTCAGAACTGAACCACATAGCCCAAAGAATGAAACTTCACCATGAAGTGCCATTTTCATCCTTAACTAACTATGACATCTTGTTTGTCAACACATCTATTGTTCAGAGACTAGTTGTACAACAAAACTCGGGAAATCTGATTGAAATTCATACTCGAAATTTTCTATGGTCACGAATATATAATTTGTGCTGTTGAACTACATACTCGATACATTGATTTCTAATTAGTGTACACATAACAGTTAAACCATATTTGAGTTTAGTAAGGAATTGGGTTTACTAAACAATTTCCCGATATTGTCTGACCTAGATCAATGTAGTGGACACAAATGATCACAGTTCTCACTATACATCTCTTTTCCCTCGAGTATAATTTTCTTTCTATAAAATTAGAAGTAATAATTTGATCATCTAGTGATATTACTCTTTCTATAAAAAAAATTACAAATAGTTAACAACAAATAAATAAAGGAAATTATATACGTACACAAATTCAGAAATAAGGGGAACATAGGATCAGCTATCATCAATATATCGCAAAATTCCTGATGCTTGAAGTTTCAAAAATGAATCAAAGTAAAGATTGTTGAAACATTTTTATAAAGTTATCATTTCAATCAAAAATAATCCATTCGTTAATGATTGGTAATTGTGCAATGTAGTTAGTATAAAAACAATGTTGTAATCCAATGTTATCTTGTTCTTGTTGTCAAAGAAGGTGATGTAGTTTTTTCGGATCATCTTTTTGTTTCATTGAAAAACAAAATTCTAGTAAGATAAATATAGTAGAAGTTGACAATGTAAACAATTAGAATGATCTTAATATTCTCCTTGTACACGAAAGACTGACGACAATGGTGCAGATTGATCTGTTCAATAGAAGAAACAAATATTAATAAGAAATCGGTTAGTGTTATTGCATTCTCTTTACTATTTGATTTAGCATTCTTCATTCTATAACTCTTATTCTGAAACTAATCTCTAGGACAAAATATATTATTTATATTTAAGAAATAAATAATGGTTCACAATAGTTTCTTTATCATAAGTTTAAATAATCGCAAACAGTTAGTAGTTATGCATAGTGGCTGGCAGTGGAATTCAGGATTCGTGTTTCGTCTTATTTGGGACTCATCAGTTGAGTGTACCTGCATCTCTGAGTTGATGTTCACTCTGGGACTCGAACTTAGTACTGTTCGACTCAAACAGCATCGCGTTATCCACTTAGCTACTGAATCCTGATAGTCACTTGCTTGTGTAATGGGGTGAATTTAAATTCACTTGATATTGGTTGGCTTGCATCTTACTACAGACTGATCAATTTCAGTCTTAAACCTCAATAGGAAGATACAAGCCAAACAATAACAAGTGAATTTTTATTTTGGTTTCTATTTGTGAAGACCCTAATAAAATGCACAATCTTTTGATAGCACCGAGTAACTGCCAGAATTAACTACTTCTATGAATTCGGTGTTCATCTTGTTGTGCTAATGCGGTATGGCAACTTGAACCGATATATATATATATATATATATATATATATATATATATATATATATATATATATATTATATGCAAAGATTGATATTGGCTAGCAGTGAAATCCAAGATTCGCGTTTTTGTCCTATTTAGGACTCGTTATCAGGACTCAGTAGCTAAGTAGATAACGCGATGGCGTTTGAAGCGAACGGTACTGGCTAGCAATGGAGTGAACATCAACTCTTGGATGCATGTACATCCAGCTGATCAGTCCAAAATAAGACGAAACGCCCGTCTTGGATCCCAGTGCTACCCACTATACATCTTTGCATATAATGCTTGTGAATTAAAGCTATATCAAGGCAATACGGACATTATGCACCTATGCCAATAAGAGACTGATCAATGGGAAGATTCAAACAAACAACACCAAGTGAGTTAGTAGTTATGTTTAGTTTATTAAGCTTCATGTACTATTGTTTCTCACTATATTGCCTAGAGTTTTTAAATCAGAATACTTAATTTGATCTGCACTTCTTTTGTGCAAAGTTTAATTTGAATAATCTTGGGATTTTTTATTAAGATCACAATTTACTTTGATGCAATTCATAAGTTCCTTAGTTTTTAATCGTTTTACAAATGATAATGATTCGTAACGGAAGTTTCAAAGAAAAAAATTCATCTTTAATATAAGTAATAGTTGTGTTCACAAAAGAGTAACTGAGTAATGAAGTTCCAGTTTAAATCCATATCCTGTAACATTAACTATATAAAACAATTTCATAGAATGATATAATCTTATGGCTAAAATTGTACTTACATTAGACAAATTTTAATGTTAGTAAATTATGAAATTGTTACTATTTTCAACTGATTATTACCTGTTTATTCAAAATACTACTAATGGTCATTTTAGTAGTAATATTTGTAATAGTAGAAAATTTTGATTTACATAAATAAGCTCATGCAAAATTGTTAGATTGTATTGGTAAAAAAGTAAGTAATAGGTAGAGTAGACCAATTGACAAAGAATAAGTTATCATTTAGAAACTGTAGAAATAAAAAAAATATTTCAATAAAGTATAGAATAGAATAGAAGAATGAAGAGTAAAACAAGAATATTGAAAAACATGTACAATAATAGCAGTTTCCTCATACGTTATTGGTACAGTACATACTTCCGTTTTAGAATGGCTGAAATGAATTAGATAACCGATGGAACTAATGAATATTAGATAGTTGTTTCATTCTAATTTTGAATTCATCATGTATAATAAATCTATCATCTCATATATTAAATCAAACCTATGATTTTTACATGACACAATTAATAAGTTTCAACTATTGAGCACAATGACTTGACGTATAAGTGAGCTTCTTAGTTTCCAACTTTTAAATGAAAACATCTATGATCGTAAAGAAAAGTAATCGTAGTGAAGATTCGTTACTAGCCCGTAAAAGTTATATTTGCTAAGCTGTTTGTCATTAATGTCAATCAGTCAGCCAGTTACAACGTAGGACCAGGCACATATGTACATCGGCTCAAGTTGCCACACCTCATTAGCACAGCAAGACGAACACCAGATCCATGGAAGTAGTTAATTCAGTGGTGATAATATATAAAAGAAAAATTACATATAAGGACATGGTACAGGAAGAAAAATTAGTTCGTAGAAAGAAAGATATGTGAAGGTTTTAATCTCAAAGTTTAAGGGAAGACAGAGAGTATGTACACCAACCAAGTAGTCTGTATCTACTAACATGGCTCAGACTAGAAGTAAGTGGATTCAAGCGCTGATGCCAAGTTTTGGTTTGTCCGCCCCTAACTTTCTTCCAGCCATCTCCAACACTAGTCAGCATTGTGCTTCATTAATGTGCCTTCAAGTCATGAATGTGAAGATTGATTACAATGTTCCCTGTCTTTTTTATCTGACAGTTCGTCAATATTACTTATTTTGCGACACAGCCTTCATTCAAAGAATAATTTTCCCATTCCCGTAAATGAATCGAGACAGGAGCAAATCTGTCAAGATAGTTGTACAAGCATTCTGGTAGTCAGCACTTGTGCATATATTTTAATCATTGAGAAAACACTATGTCATAGTTGCTCTATTTTGAGAGTAGATTGAAAATGGTATGTTGTATTTATTGAATTTCAGTCAATTGATTCAATTTCAAATGTCTTATTGTTAGGTAGTGAATTTATTTGTTCAGATCAACCATAGAAAACAGAATTGTGTGGATCACTAAACAGTTCTAAATGTAAAGTGAAACATATATTCAACTCCCTTTAATGTAGTTATTAAATCAAGACTGATTTACAACCCATATAACAATGTCTTTTTCAATAATTTAAATTTTTTTCAGGAAAACAAAACAAAGTTTATCTAGAAATTACAGTAGGTTGAGCGTTTGTGTGCGAAACTGAAGGCCTTGGGTTCGAATTCCGCGAGCGGAATCTTGCATATGCA